TCTCCCTTCAAGGTGTTACACAATTCATGTAATAGCACTGGGCCAGCTGTAGAAAATGTATGAGCTTCCCATGACAAGTGTGGCAAATTGTTAATAAATGCAAGCTTACACCTTGCTCTCCCCAAATATTTCAGGGTGGGTGTGAAGGATTTGAGAGAAAGCAGTGAGTCCATAACACAGGGCCAGCTTTACTTCTAGGGTTTCTTAAATTTTTTTAAAAAAAAAAAAAAAAAAGAAATAAAAGGAAGCCTTCAACCCAAATTCTTTTCTTCTTGTTTATAACAATAAACAACAGATTTCATGTAAGAGTAACACCAAGAGGGTAGGAAAAAAAAGCATTCCAAAGCTAATTTTAGTCCTGCTGATCTCAGGAGCTTAGTGTTCCCGTCAGACTGAGCAGACTCCAGTGGTGCCCTGCCCGCCTGGCTGGAGAAATCTGTCCCTGGAGGTCTGTCTACAGCACCTTGTACCCTACACCTAGAATGGGTTTTAGGATTTCGGGGGTTTTTTTTGTTACACGGGAGCAAGTATCCAGGACTGCATTGACCCAAGACACAGATGGAATCTACCCAAGTAAATTATCAGGGGAAAAAAAAATAAATCAAAATTGTTCACTCTTCATTTTCTGCAAATCAATCCCTCAAGACTTCAGCAGCTAGCCAAAATTCAGTCCCCACAGTTATTTCTATTAATAGAAGAAACTGATGGCAGAATCAGGTGTATCTTTGATACAAACCTATCTGTTTACATACAATACAGCATCCTTTTACCTGCAACAAGGTAAGAACAAGTGATGAGATCTTTTTCCTTGATGGTTCTCATCCACGTTCAGCCAGTACCATATCCAATCTCTCCATGAGCTCCTTCTACTTCTTTTCTCCTTAGAGACACATTCCTACTGCTACCCCTGGCTGTTTCTCCCTATTCAGCACCATTTTCTGAGGCTTGTTTCACTGTTTTTTATGTCATATACAGGAAACTCCAGCAATCACTACCTCAATGCCTTGTGTTCGCTTTGTGAGTTCCCAGGGAACATCCCTTTGGTCACATAGTTAAGTTTTTAATGTTAATCTCACCATGTAATTCTGGGTTGGCTGCAACCCCATTAGTTCAGCTACCTGGATCCATACTGACTTTAACCACTTTTTAAACACTTACCTTGCCTGTCAGCTTCACTGAATCTTACCCAGTTCATAATTGTATCCTCTCACTTCCACAGATGGCCATACACTAACCCCTTCAGCCATAAAGACAAATGCTTTAATGATAATACTAGTTATACTGTAGACAGTGGCTGTCAAGGTACTCAAAAAAGACTGTTCCCAGCCATGCTTCCTTGTGATTTTTTTACTGTTGGTATGAAACCTGCCTACCTGAAGAGAGCTATGATTCCTCATGCCCCCCACCAAGAGCAGACATCCTCTGCTGGATGCAAATGAAGAACGTATTTCCCAAATGTTTATCACCTAGACATGAGAGCAGAATTCATGCAGGCACTGTAACCTTCTTCTGGGTAAAATCTGCCAAACTAGCCTAAACCACCTTTAATTGGAAACAGTGAGAACTAGAAACAAACAGAACTATGCAGCAGTAAAACACTCCTGCTGTTAGACTGCCTTTCCTAGCGGGATGACAGCCGCAAACTGAGAAGGCGTAGCGACTAACAGATAGGTAGTAGTGTCTCAAACTGCAACTTCACATTAAGGCTTCAGTTACATTCACCCCTTGCTGCTGCCAAGAGAGGTAGCCCTCTCCCCCTGTCCCTCCCCCAGTTTCTTCCCGGTGGGACACATGTTTCTGCCAAGTCCTTGCTCCAGCGCACATTTGATTGCAGCACAAAGCCAATTCCACTCACTAAAACAGAAGAAAGTAAATTGGTTTTGGCTGGAAAGCAAGCTGAATTGGTTTACTACGTGATAAAGCGAGCACTAGGGTTAGCGCAAGACAGAGAGAAGATGGACTGGACAGCTGAAACCAGGGCCAGCAGAAGAGATACAGGCGAGGTGAGAATGGTAAACAGCCACAAAAGCTGTTAACACAGCTCAGCTCAAGCAGGGAATCACAGTCTTACTGCACTCCAGCAATTTACAGAACGCATGTCTTAAGTACTCGATTCCTGTAGGTCTCTCCTCGTTTTGGGGACAGCAGTTCCTCTGATACTTGTGTGTTACTTAAAGGGGATTTCAGATTTAGCCCTGCACTAACAGTTGCGTATCTTAAGCCCAAATTCAAGAAGCACTAGTACCCCAACCATGCTGCTGGGTAAGCACTGGGAAGGAAAGGGATGTTCTGGTCCCAGCTCTTGTGCAAGGTAGTGCCATGGCCTAGGGAAACTTCCCAAGGATCAAACTTAGCCAGGCACAGTGCCACGTTACCACCACCATCCTGCTCCCTGGGCATGGGTTGTCCTTATGCATGAGGCTGAGCAATGAACCAGTTGATTGCTGCAGTGCAGGTTCCTGTGTCTCTACAAAAATAGGTATTTCCCCAACAGAAAGCATCCTGAGGAGACCAGCACATTGAAACATCCCAGGCTGGCAGTGAGGAGACAAAGCCCCTGGAGATCCACTGCAGGGAAGGTTTTTGGCAAAGCACCAAAAAAAACAGACTGCAGGTGCTCAAACAGCCAATTATCTCAAAGGCAGTTTTATGCCAGTGGACAGTTTAGTTGCTTACCTGCCTTTTCAACCCATCCAGTGTGGCACGACCTGTTCCCACCCACTTGCTCCTTGGGGCAAGTTCTCCACTTTTTCTTTTGCCTTCTGTCCTCTCTACATCTCCTATTGCAGAGCTTCCTGCCCTGAGAGTCAGAGAATCATGGAATCATGGAACAGTTTGGGTTGGAAGGGATCTTGAAGATCATCTAGTGCCCTGCCCTGGGCAGGGACACCTCCCATCAGAGCAGGTTGCTCAAAGCCCCATCCAGCCTGGCCTTGGACACCTCCAGGGATGGGGCCTCCACAGCTTCTCTGGGCAACCTGTTCCAGTGCCTCACCATCCTCTGAGTGAAACATTTCATCCTGAAATTAATGAAGTTGGCTTTAAAAAAAAAAAAAAAAAGCCAACCGGTGGGGCCCTTGAATTTTAACTTTATTAACCTTCCAAGTTTTATACCCTCTCAGGGCCCCGCTCACCAGATTCTTCCTCAGCACCACAGTGACCTCATTTTATTAAATTAAACAACAGCCCAGGTTGTCCCAGGCTCCCAGACCCCGGCTCTCCCCTCGGTCGGGCGGGAGGCAGCACCCCTCCTTCCCCCCGCCGCCATCGCCCCCGGGGCGCGGCGCAGGCCGCGGGCACCACCCGAGCCGGGGGCCGGGCCGCCGCGGGGCGGAGAGAGGTGGGCGGCCGGGGGAGGCGGAGGGCGGGCCCGGCGCCTCCCGGGAGCTGCTGCGGGGCGGGCCGGAGCGGGGCGCTCCCCTCAGGTGAGGGGCGGCGGGCCGTGGCCCGCGGGGTGCCGAGGGTGCACTGGGAGCAGGGGGGCGGACAGCGAAGCTCCTTCCCCTGGGCTGGGCGGGCGGGCCTCAGGCCGGGGGGCAGAGGGGACTTCGGGGTTGTTGTGGTGGCGCTGAGGCGGCGGGACCGGCGCCAGGAGGCGGCCCTGGGGAAAGGTGCGGGGCTGCTGCCCGGTAAACGGCTTCTGCCCGGGGCAGAGGAGCTGAGGCCGTAAACAAATAAAATACTAATTTTGTTGTCTTTAGTGACACCCTTGGGATACGTGAGCCCTTCAGCGAGTCTTCGGCCTGATCAGTCAAAATTAAATCGGCTGGAGGCACTTGTGCAGCAAAGCTGAAGGGCTGCCACGAAGGCAAATGAGAATACAGGTTGCTTGGCTGCTTAAACTGCCTTTTACAGGTGCGAGCTTAAGCGTGCTGCACCTGAAAGGGTAAAGGCACTTTCAAGGCATAACACCCATGTGGTATTTAATATCAAATTATCAAGGATGTGTCTCCCTGCAAACTTGGAACCTACCGTGTGTCCAAAGGGCGGGCGATGTGGGGTGCTGCCTCTCCTTACCCCCGGGGAACTCCCAGCGCAGAGGCCACAGCCGGGTTGTCCCTGCCCTGGGTGGCAGCTGTGTGCAGGCTCCTGCCAAGCGTGACTGGAGGGTGTGCTGGGTTTCCTGCTTCCCCGAAAGAGACAAAAATCGGTGAAGCCCAGACTCATGCTCTTAGTGGACGCTGTGCCTCGTCCTTGCAGCAAAGGTAGGAGAGTCAGAGCAGACCTAGTAAATCAGCCACGTGCAATAAACGTCGAATTTTTGAAACGTTACAATTACTGGATGAATAGGAAAATGTAAAGAAAAACTTCCTTCTTTAATGAAGTTGCTTTACTTGTAGTTTAAAGGGGTTTACTTCCTTTGCTTCTTAAGGAAGTCTGTACTAAGTCTTCAATCGGCATGAAATGGATGTGAGTGCTGGTCAATGAATAACTAAGTAGAGCTATAAAATTAACCAGTTTTGTTTCTCTGGCTCAGGAAGTTATTTTAGAAAGAAAGAATACATGTAAGAAGCAAGATGTCTCATGCCGGGAGACAATACCAAGATAAGCAATACAGGCACCATGAGAATTATGGATCTGATAGATACGAAGAAGACAGAAGAACGAGAAAACCATACCCATACAATGCACGGTATGTCTTTAGCACCTTGAAGAAACATAGTATAGCATGTCTGTAATGTCCGTCTTCCTGTTTGTGTACTTTATTTTAAACCTTCATATTACAGGAGTAGAGAAAGCATTTACTCACCCTTGAAATTATGAAGCATGAGCGTGCCACATTTGGTTTCAGGGAGCTATTTCACACTTGGAAATTTAAGTTTTTTCTCTGTATTGAGCTCAAGAGGTAGGCAGAAAGGTAGGCTGTGTGGCACAGCCAGAGATGTGAATTTCAAGGGGTTGCCTGATGAAATAGGTGAAGTGTGACCGTGTGTCTTGGTACAGTTCCTGAAGAGGCTGGTCACCAGGTGACAGCAAGCCAAGGCTTGCCAAGTATGCATTGCTTAAATGAGAATGTTATGTGACTGAGAGCAGCACAGGGATTTACTGAACTCTCAGGTTGTTCAGCTGTGAACAAGTTCCTATTAATCCAAAAGGAAATTAACTTCAGTAGTCTCAGTCAATGAATGAGTAGTTGTTTAAGTGTCTAAGGCAGTTTGCAACACTTGATAGTGGGTGAGCGCCTATCAGCACAATAAGCAAATCAACTAATAGAAGTCTTAGAGTCACAAATAAACTGTTTGGCTATTACACGTCTCCTTTCAGCCTGGCTAACCTACAGCATCGTAGAAGTGAGCGTAGGCTGTTTCCCTTTGTGTGCGTGCCAGCATCTGCATTGTAAGAGAGAGGTCTGTAGCTCTAAACAACCCTGGCAAATTGGCCATGGCAGAAAGGTGTTCATCGCTCCTGTTTAGTCTCCAGGAGCATGATTGTTGGGCAATTTAAGAATTGAGGCAAAGAGGGAGAGGAAATAAATATAATTAAGATTATTGAAAAGCTGAAGTATTCCATGATAACATGCATTTTAGCAAGAAAACCAGGATGAGAATAAAAGCAGTTAGTGAAGAGCACTGTGTGGACAAGGACTACTTATGGCTAAGTAACATACGGCTAATAAAACATTTGGATGGTGGTAATCCTGTTGGATTATGAAAATAGCTAACGAATTTTTTTTCTGTCCCTCTTAAATCATGAAAAATTGGAGAGAAATGGGAACAAAGGTCAGCCTAAGAATCATCCTCAGAGGCTAAATGACTGTCTTTAGCAAAAGTAGAGATCAGGAAGGGGAATATAGTTCAATTATCTTGAACATAATAGAAGCGAGAGCAACAAATGCCAGAGATGTATTAATTGCACTGTGGATAGAAAAGAAGAAAAAAAGGGTTGGATTTTCGCTTTTTTTTTTCATATATAGCATAATGAAAACAATGTCTGAAAGTACAGCTATATATTAAACCACCACCTCCTAGTAAAGCACTTCCCTGGACTTCTTTTTTTTGCTGTTAAATGACTGGGCACGTAGACTGAAAATTGGTGGAAGGACCGTAAAGGCCAAGAGACCATTCCTGTATCCATGGAGGATTAGAGGAAGGGAAGCTGCAGCTACAGATCGGTAACAGCCATGGGGATAATTCTTAGAGTCAAGCCAAGAATCTGGGGTGCACCAGCCCTTACTCCAGCTAATCGAAAAACCTTTTTCGTCAGTTATTTTGATGGAGTTTGACTTAACCTAACAGCATTTCTGCTGCTTAACCCTTATGACAAAGCCATCTGCTTTTGCAAGGAAATTTCAATATTTTGGTGAAGACTTAGGCTGACGGACCAAAAGATCTCCAGATATTATAATGGAATAGATGGAGAGAGTTTCATGGAAGCTGGAATTTGGGTGCCTAATGCTTTCATCCCTTATGAGCAAGATTTTCTAGCCAGAGCATTTCTCTTTCCAAGTGCATTTCTGTCAGAAACTCCTATAGCAAGCTCTGTCTCATTGCTGAGGAGAATGAGTTGTATTATCCTGAACTGGACAGTCCTGAAGGAGAACAGGAGGAAAGATGGCCAGAATAGGCCATTGTGAGAAAAAAGAACCATCTAAAAGAAGTAATTTTTTTTTTCTTAATTGTACTCTGTTGCTGAACATTGCGGGGGGGAGGGGGAGAGGGTGTTTTGGTTTTTTTGTTTTGCTTTGTTTTCTGGCAAGTAGCAGGATGCAATAGAGAGAAGCAGCTGCATCAGAAGTACCAAAGGGATTGCTTTCAAGTTAACTGAAAGTCTTATAAATCACACAGCTTATTTAATTTATGTGACACAGCTGCGCAGGATGCTTTGGTGGTTGCACAAGACACAGGACAAAGGTCAGAAAAATCAGAAAAGTTTCGGCCAAATACCAAATAGAGCTGTTGGCAACTACAGGAGGAGATGTTAGCATTGGTCTTGTTATTGAATGTCTTAATTAAAATGTAAAAACTACAAAGAACATGATTTAATGTGGACGAATGAGATAATATTTTAAGTTGAGTCTGGAATTGGATGAAGATAAACCTTAGTGAAGTGCAGTGATACTAGGAAACAAAACTACAGTTGAAAATGCTGATCTGTGGATAAGAAATTCAAGATAAAAACTGAATAGGAAGAAGACTTTTAAAAATAACAATGCTGATGAGACTTAAAATACCCTTTAATAACAAAATCATCCAGCTGTACCTTGAAAAAGGCAAGCTCCAATTCTCCTTCAGATGAGAGAGAACATTTAGATTAGACCAGACACAAACCAATTTAAAGTTAATGTTTCTTTTAACCTGAGTGTTAGCTCAGTTTAAAAAGGGAAAATGGCACTTTTCCCATAAAATAATCTAAATCTCACCAACCTTAAAAATTGTCGGGCTTCACGTGTAGAGCTGTATGTCATTGCAGTGAAGCGGATTATTCCATTTTGAAGTATACAAATGATGAGTCTAATTGGAGACAAAAGAAATTGATTTTTTGGGTTGATTTTAGATTCCTCTTGAAATATCATCAAAGACCTGAAAAAAAAAAAAAGAGAAATATTTAAATAGGCAACTTTTTTCCCCGCTTTTAAAAGAAACAGATAAAGATTGTATAGCTTTCATCCTTTTACAAGGCGTCTTTGTGGGACATGGTAATTGGAAGTACAAACTTGACAAAACACTACCCATTAAATAGTTTGCCACTTCACACATTTATTTTGTGAAAATATTTCACATTTGTATTCTCTGGGCTGCTATGGACTAGCTAGAAATGCTTGATTCTCATGCAAAGCTGTTACTGGTTTTTATGGGAACAGGAACTCTCCCCACACCCTCCTCCTTGCTACCTTTTGCAGGTAACCTAAACAATTCAGCCAGCCTGCTCAGAGAGTAAACAGTTTTCCAAAATAACAATGATCAAGTGCAAATATCTTTGTAAACATGGATTTATGCAAGTATTGGGGATATTTGCTTTCAAAACACTCAAGCAAATAAGATCAGATACCTGTGAAGCAGGCAATCTGCTTCTGCTAACAGGAGCCTCTGCCAGTTTCTCATGTTCTAGTGTTCAGAAGAGAACACAATCTAATTAATTTACCTTAATTGTTCACTTCATTTTAGATCAACAGAAGACATCCGAGGTGGCCAGCGCTCAAAGACTTCCACTGTTTGCTCAGACCCTTACTCTAAAATCTCAGAAACAGGACGGGAATATTTTGGCCCACCACCAGACCGTTATCCTCCCAAGGAAACCTTCTCAATGAAGTGTTCAAAGGTATGCACGACAAGAGGTATGTGAGATTCTTATTGCCTGCCATTCACCCCTCTCCTTCCAAGGACTTGTTTTGGGTTCAGTTTCTGTATTTAGAAGCACAACAAAGTAAAACTAAGCAAATATTAAAAAACAAAAAAAAAACAGACTAGGAGAGTTAATGAATGGCATAACTGTGGGTTACTAGCATGTTTTAGGCATCTAAAGGCAAGATTTATAGAGATATTTAGATACTTGACAGTGCATCTCCAGGGTATGCATAGAGAGCATCAGATTAGGTCATGTGTGTAATCACCCAGGTTGTGCAGCAAGAGTTAACTTTTGGGATTTAGGAATAAAATAATTTGCATCTGTAGGCAATTTAAAGATGGCTGTTGAAGCTTTGATGGTAGTTTATTTCTGACACATTCTTCTCAGACTTTTTATCAACTCTGGATTTAATCCAGTCATCATCACTGATACATTTTTATAAAGCAACACTGCGGGAGACAAAACTATTTTATGGACATGAATCCAATAAAACAGCTCTTGAGAAATAACTTGGTTTTTTCATAGCTAGGAATTGACTACAACAAGCAGAGAAATGAGCATTAATGTGGGAGGAGGGCAGCCTTAACACTCAGTAAACTGGTTCCCATAAATGGGAAAAAAAAAAAAAAAGGCACTAAAATATCCATTACTCCTTAAAAGTTTTTATTTTTCCAGGACAATGAGCTTTCTCACCTTTTTTGTAGGAAAGGCCCATTGCAATCTGAGTTGGAACTTGCAGCTAGGTGCCAAGTCTTTGGCCAAAGTCTGTAAACAGGCTTTCGGTGTCCTCCAGGAGAGAGAGACAAATGAAGAGTTTAGTTGTTGGAAGTAAATTAAAATAATGTTGGATTATATCTTCGCTCCATGAAGGAAAGTTAAATAATACACTCAATTTGCTTGTAACATTTCCCTATATGTGAATATGTGAATGATTTGAAGACTGAGCTGAACTATTTTCTCTTATAAATATGGTCTGTGCATTTGTATGCAGTTTGTTTTTCATCTTGGGATTTAACAACAGTTAGTAGAACATATTTAATGCTACAGTCATACTGATATTTTATCTGTGACAAAATTGTATCAGCAGTTTCTTCTTCAACAGTACTAAATTATTTTAACTTGTCTGAGATGCTCTAGAAAACTCCATGCCTCATTTTATCACAGCTTTAGAAAAATGAAGCGGCAAGATATTTTTGGTTTTCAGTTTCACTGGTCATTTAGACTTATGGATAGCTTAATGTGACTTGCTGGGGTTTTTTTGACCTGCATTTGCTTCTCATAATTTCAGTGCATCATTAACATTTTCAAAATGTCCTAGTTTTGGATGCATCAGTTGCCGATGATGATTTCATTCCCACTCCTCCCCCAGGTATTGCTCAGTATTTTCCAAAAATTTAATGTGTGAGCTTGCAGTGGAGGAGGGAAAAGAGATCATGTAGAAAATAAACCATTTTATTAGCAGTTTTTACTTAAAAAAATGAAAGGATATTGGAGGTTGATAAGATTATGAGAGTGTAACTCTCCTGTTTAATTTTTGAAAGTACCAAGATTTAGCAGAATTTCCTAGAATTGTTTTGCAGAATTCTGTATTCCCTGCAGTCATAGTAAATGTTATAAGTGAAAAGCTACATGAATTGTTTACTAAGGAGTCAGTACATGTGAGCTACCTCTTCTTACAGCATGAAAAGTTCCTGTAAATACTTCTTAACCATCTCTCTCTTTTTTGCCAGTGCTTTATTAGCACTCTGCTGAAATTCCCCTTCCCAGTCACCATAACTAGCATTAAACAAGGCTAGGAAATCAAAGGATGTACCAGTCTTTTCCAAAGCAACAACTGAAATGTGGACCTTAGTTTCTGACCATGCATTGCTCTACTTTCACAGCTTTCACTACTTTATGCTTTGGTTTTGTTTTGGTGTTTTGTTTTTTTTTCTTTTGTCCAGCAAATACAGTCAAGGTCTCTGTGCATGTTGACCAGTTGGGCAAACTGGTGAGGAATTCTAAATAACCAGAGCTGTGAAAAGTATTTCCTTCACTGAGATACTGTCCTCTTTCTGTAGTTCTGTCTTCTGTGTAGAAAAACTAAATTAGTAATCATATTTGCTTTTCAAAGGACCCCCTCGGGTCCTTTGGAAATAGAACCAGATTCAGTGCCTTTTGTTACCACAGGGAATGACGGAAGTGTTCAAAGCTGGCTGTCGTGCTACTGCCTTCACCTAGGAGAGAGAAAAAATCTGAGTCAAACCCAAGAGTGAAATGCTAATCTTAAATTGGTCATAGATAGTTTTTCATTTTCTTTTTGGTATGTATATCGGTGTGAAAGAGGTGGAGCATTGCAATTCCAGCATAATGCTTCCTTCAGTTTTACTTACATAGTGAAGGTAAACTGAATTCCTCCCATCCTCGGTCAGTACAACACTCAGGAAATGCCTGCACTTCTGCCTTGTACAGAATTGTACCGTGCTGGTCATAACTTTTGAGCTAATTTTTTGGGGGTTTTTTTTTTTGTTTGTTTGGTTTTTTTTTATTAAATTCTTCAACCCACTTCGCATTTAAGGGAGATAGAACTAAAAAGGTTAGAAAACAGTTTGTGGGGGAGCAAGTATAATTGAATCTCTGTTCTTTACTGCCATGAATACAGCTTAAAGAGGCGCCATGAATAGTGTCAGATTTCTTAGGCATATTGTAGGCGCTTCCAAACAATCATGCCTTTAGCCTACATTCTAACATCCACAATTGTTAAAACCTTCAGACCAATTTCCTCTCAGAAAAAGACAGTATTATGGTTTGTAACAACAAGAAAAGTCTCCAATTTCAGGCATAGCCAGGAGGAAATATCAAACTGAATTTATTTGGAGGAGGAAATAGAATTAGGGAGTAACAATGACTTTCTCCAGGATATATTCATGCATTAACAAGCCAGCATTAATTCAAATGTAAACATCTATAACCTTTTGTTTTCACAAAGCACAGTCCAGCTTTTTTCCTGTAGCTATGCATGCTGGCAAATACTTACAGACTGAAAAACATACTGAGACAAAAAGTGACCCTAAACACAGGGTTCGCACTAGTAGACACTTGGTGTGAGTTATGCCATTGTTCATAACCGTTATACTGATGCTGTTACGTTGCTCTGTTCTGTCCCCACAACTCAGATGTGGGAGAAGGAGGGGAACAATATTGAGCAGAGCACTGGTGTCCCTTCCAGTGCTGTGGGGATGCTGGGGGAGAGCAGTGGTTTGCAAGAGGCATTGGACTGAAGTAAAAGACCTTCTGTAGCTTCAGTTGTGTATGGTCAAAAACACCAGAGGGTGGTTAAATGTGCATAGTTCAGGTAACTGTGGATGACAACAAGCATTGACAAATACGTTTCTGTGGAAGCACCCAATAGAATTAGAATCTGCTGTATTTTGTAGTCACCACCTTCACATTTTGCCCCTTACAGCCTGCCCATGCTTAGCTCCTTTAAATTGTGCTCAAAGCTGTCATACATTGTTCCTGTGGCAGTTAAATTCAACACATGCTGTAAGAAAGGAGCACTAAGGTCCCCTATCGTCTCACTTGTAATTAGATGACTTCCCCCTCCTATCTGTTACAAAATATGCTTTAAATACAGTGTAACTAAAAGGCTGAATTTGCCATCAAGTTTTTAATCTTGTAATTGTGAAGACAGAGGATATTAGTAGCGGGAATTGGACAGAGCTGTAGAGATTAAAATAATCCCAGTTATTCAAAGTGCTTAATTAAAATTGCACAGTAAGAAGATACGGAGGCAGAGCTGCAGGTAGCCTTCCTCTTCTGAAGTTAAAGTCTTTCACTCGGAGGTAAGTGCTGTTTGTTGTGAGATACAAGGGGCCATGAGCAGGTACCTCTTTAATAAAAACATGCAGGGGAGCTGCACCAGTTGCAGATGCCAGATGTTACCTGTAGCAAACTGTTGCCCTGCCAACATAGGACACTTCGCTCTGCCCACATCTTCATATGGAATTTTTTTCACCCCCCCTTTTGGCATTGTGTGAATATGCACACTGTTGTTTTTAGAGAGGGGAGAACAACAACTGAGAAGACTCACTTAGGTTGGCAGGGGAAGATGCTGGCGAGGTTGATGTTAGCTGTTAGGTCTGTGCTAGGCTCTAGCCCATGCTTCCCTACTGGGAAATCTGCGCTGTACAGCACGGGAGTTGCGCTGACTTTCACGTAAGACCACTGGGTCTGTCTTCCCCACATCTGACCCAAATTCTGGGAACCAAGAAAAATAACCTCTTCTCTTTAAAAAGTGGCTCTCAAAGCTAATCGATACGGCAGGCTGACTCTGTATCACTTGAGCAGGTGATCTTAGCTCACTTAAAGGAGAAAAATCCACCCAGTCAGGAATGTTGCTCACCAGGTGTGACAACCCACAATTGGTGAAGGGAGTGGGAAGCTCGGGTTCACAGGTGCCTCCAACCTGACCTACCTTCAGCCAGACTGCGATTGCTTAAGGAGCAATAACACCCCAATCTTTGTACTTTCTGAAGGCGGCTCAGTTTCAGTTCAAACGGAGGGAGTGGCTATGGAAAGTTGGCATCAGGAACAAGAGTATTTCATTGTTTTCTGAACTCCTTTAAAAAAAACAACCTCCTGCAAGTTTGTTTCAGCACTGAGATATTTGTTTACTATTTGAAAGAACGATGGGTATGTTAGGAAGAAAAAAGGCTATTTCCTGAAATGCTGAGGTGACCATGCAGAGACCTACTGCTGCTACAAATTAATGTACAGCCTTTTGCAGCCATTGTATTTAAATCACTATTGCCAAGCGCTACAGTTTAACGCAAGACCTTTTGCTTCTCACCCTTTCCAAAATTGTGGAAGATGACTCATGCTGGGTTAGCAGGAGAGGTCAAGAACATGCTAGAAGTGATGCTTTAAGGAACTACTGGGAACAAAGTTAAACCAGAGCTGTTGTTCCAAGGCAGGGGCTGGGTTGTTCTGAAACTGTGTCTTGATGGC